CAGTCTAGAAAAGTTGGTTAGGGGGACCCCATAAAAGTCAAAAGTTCACCAGGAAGGCAACACTTTACACCCCCCTGGGGATGAGTGAGGGATTAGGAGTAAGACATCTACATCGCAAAGACTCTACTAATCACATCTCCTATTGTCCCTTCAATGAGCCTATCATGCTAATAAGAAACACAGCCACCCTGGAAGACTTTTATGGGGTCCCCCTAACCAACTTTCTTAGACTGAAGAAGCTGCTTGGACAAGTAGCGAAAGGTCTCTAACCTAAAAGAAAAGAAGCCCAGTTGCCATGACTCAACCTCCAGACAACCCACCAATTAGTTTTTAGTACCAGAACTGCATATTGCTCACAGAATTTACATACACGGTATCTCTCCAGCTTCTTCAGGCTCTCTCCATTTGTTAATACAAGTTAGAGTGGATGGGGAAGAGTTATTTTTTTGCTGGAATCGTTACTTGATGGATGTCCAAATTCCTTTTTGATTGACTGATCTACCAGTGACCCTGAGATCTACCTTATTTGCATTTTTTCCCTTCCAGGACCCCTTTGGGGAGAAGCGAGGACACTTTGACTACCAGTCCCTTCTAGCACGTTTGCAAGGAATCCGTCTGAAGGTGCAGGAGAAGCACCAGCAGGAGAATCCAGACATAGACTCAGAAAGCAGCTCTTCTGAAACAGAAACAGACACTCAAGGGAGCATTAAGATTTAGATGCCTCCCATCTGATCACTTGGGAATCCAAAACATGGGGGTGGGATCTTCCAACTCCAGGTGCTGTGGAGGACCCCGGAGAGACCTAAGAACTGGTTTAGGTTCCAGAGTGAGCACACACGTGGAGAAACAGCCTTTCGTTATCTCCATCAAGTGCTCTGGTATATCCTGTTAAAAGAGGATTTGATGCTAAAACTGAACTGGGCTTGTGAGAGGTTGCATTTTGGAAATGACCCTTCCCTCTGCTGGAGACCTCTGAGTGAATGACACACAAAAAAAAGCATTTTGGAAAAACCTGTGGTAGACAGGTTTATGTCCCCCTTTCCCCCAGTTCTCAAAGAGCATGAGATAAAGCATGGCTCCTTGTTCCATTGTCCTTGTTTCATAAACAAATATGTACTGCATATTCCTAGCACCTCCCTCCCAGCTTGTTTCTACACCTTGATGGGCTCCCAGCAATTGAGTCTGTTAAAGCACTTTTTGACCATTTGTACATCACATCCTATTTCTTCAGATCTGGTGCATTGTAGCTTCCCAGTCAGGTTGGTGTTGCCTGTCCTAGACAGACCAAAGAGGAAGAATTTCTGCTGGAACTGGGCTTTGTTTTGGTTTTTTTGAAAACAAGTTCCACAGCTTTACTAAATTCTTGTTTTCCTGACTTTCACCTGGAGTTCAGGCAGGAAAGGAGTAAAAATGCAACCCAGGAAAAGAATTAAAATTCATATTTTCAGCCTACTGTGCAAGTCAACCTTCAGCTTTCCAAAGTAAACTTTACCTCGTTTCACTGACCATCTTTGATGGCTCTAAAGGAGAAAGAATCTTTCTCTCCCTTGGTAAGATGGATGTAATTTCAGGGGTGGGTTAAGCATTATAGTTTAGAAGTAATTATTGCAGAAGAAAAGTACAAATAAGTGCAGCAGCACCAACAAATTAGCATGCTTATCTGAAGTAGCTGTGGCTTCCGTGCTTTTTTGGAGAGGTGGGGAGAACATAGCTAGAAGTTTGATGACAGAGAAGGAAGAAACGTGGTCAGTGTCTATTAGACTGTTAAGCCTGAGGAATCAGTTGTTGGACTATCCTGTCAAAGGATTGGATCTTATTTTAATAAGAGTTTGTTGAAACTGAAATATGGAGTTGCACGGTAGTAGATGAGTCTTTCTATAAAATCTGCCATAAATCCCTTCTTCCAGATTGCATCTATGATATAGAAAAGGTTCTAGCCTTTGAAGTTTTTTTTTTAAGTGTGGAAAGTTTAACACTTTCTAGAGAAGATCCAGAAGACTTAGCACTTTTAGAAACTACTCTAAGCCTTTTGAAAACTGGAAGAAAGTTCCTGATTATTGATGCACATGGTGATCTGAAGCAGGAAGCCGTTCTGGTAGGAAATATTGCATTCAGCCATCAGCCTAGTAATATACATGGATCCATGCTGGTACCCTCCATCCACCCCTCTCTCTAAAGATCCTGTATGCTCATAGGCAGTGTCTTTCTTTCCAGCTGTTCTTGTACTTCCTTTGGGATATAAGAGAGGGCATTCTGCTGCTTAGAGTATCCTGCAGCTTTGGGTGTTGGAAAAACTGATTACATCTAATTTGAGACAGGGCAGAATTGTTCCTCTGTCTTCCCTGTCCCCCAAAAGAGACTCCCCAAAGGACATGGATAGCTGGTAGAATCCGGAAAAAACATTGCAATACAAGTTTACATGTAGACGCCTTGTGAAGGGAAGGCCTTGAGAGGCGGAGTTAATTGTATCATGTTTATTTTAATCTCATTAGGTACAATCCAATAAAAGTCAGATTTACTTATTCTCTTCCCAGCTCCCCAAAAATCAAAGGGATGTAAGTGCACAGTTAATTTTTAAGTCCTGCTGGAATCAGTGAGACTTAGGCCTTACGCACTCTGTGCCAATTGAATAAATATGGGTTTCCCCATGCTAGATTCACTAGGGCTAGAAGTGCTTCTGGGTTAGAGCACTATGATTTCAAGGGATCTTAACTCCAGATGCATGTTGGCTGTTGAACCATTGCATACCTTTCTTTAAAACAAAACATGAAAAATGCCTTATGTGATTACTTTTTCATGTGGCTCGCATGTGGGTGTAAGAAAAACAAAACAAAAAGGAATCTGATTTTGTAGATGCCCATAATCATCTGTCTTCTGAATGTTTCCATTTCAAGAAGTGACAATCCTAGATGACTGATCTAGACAAATGTTAGTGACATAATTTTAGGCCTAACAAGCTTAAGGAAAACAAGAAACAAATGCACAAGGGTCTTCAAATAAAGAAACCTTGTTTATATACAGTTGTACATAAGGGGTTTTTTGGTGCAATAAAGTTTGTTTTGGCAGGATCTGAAGTTCATCTGTGTCATATCTGAAAGGTAAAACAGTTACTACCAACCCTCAATGTGTTACAGAGACTGAAAGAATAGCTATCTAAACATAGCTATCTAAACGTATATCCCATTTCTCCAGGATTATTACCAGCTTTGCAATGCTGGAATTTCCTACTGGAAGCCTAGGTTGTGCAGCTCCAGCCTGAGATCTTGAAACAGTTCTAAACTGTTTTTCCAAAGGCGATGGGGGTAGAGAATAATCCTAATCAACATTCTAGAAAAACTCCTTTTGGTCCCTCAGTTGCAAAATCCAGATGGCATAAGAAACATGCATACTAAATGCACGTAACAGGTGGTCCTAGGGCAGCATGTGCCCTTTGAACCCCTTGGGTGTATCCTTCCCCCAAAGAGTTCCAAAGATTCTAAGTGTGATCAAAGGAGGAAGTAAATACAGGCCTGGATATTAAACATGTGAACTAAATTTAAAGATACATGAATTGGAAGCACCTTTTTGGTGCATAGCTTCCAATCCAGGAAAAAGTGCACAGAAACTCACCGAGCCACAATGATTTCCTATGCAAATTGCAAAACTGGTTCATGCTACATTACCCAAAGCCATAATGTAGTTTGGTTTTGGCTTGTTAAATAAAATAGGCTTTCCTTTTCATACTGGGTTCCAGGAGGACTTGAATGGGTTCTCCAAGGGAGAGGAAAAATTAACGCTCTGCCATCCACTCTCATCTTGACACTGGCTGTATGTCACTAGCATTTGCAAGCATTCTGCACAAGAAGTGACCAGCTGCCTTTCCCTTCCCACATGTGTGAACACACAAAATCTGACTCCCTGCCTTCCCCCAAATTCCAAAAACCATTCTAATTCTGCAAGGTGATCATGGTGACTCCCTCCCTCCCTCTTCATGTTTAACGTTATAGACAGTATTTGCATCTGTGTATGTGCATGTCCCCAAGAGGTCTGTTTAATATTCAAGGAGGCATCCTGTGTGCACACCTACTCAGGAGTAAGCCCACTCTACAGAAATTAGTAAATTTAGGATTACACTGTTTGGCTGCAGTGCATGTGTGCCTGAAATCACTTTGGAGTGGAACTTCCTCCAGAATAAACATACAGAACTCTGTTTGCAAAGACAGGCAACAGGAAGATGGGTGCTTAAGTGGCTTCAGTCAGGCAATCACGATGGAAGAAATCCATGCCATCAACACTCATCTTAGATATATGGTGTTATTTTGGTTTTTTTTTAATTAGGCCTAATAAATATTTTTCCAGATATTGATCACTAGTTACAAACTGGTATAATTGCAGAGGGTATAGAAAAAGGTGAAAACAGAAAAAAACTAAACAAATTCCAGTGCTGCTGGTGTTGCTTCTTGTGTCACAAGTTAAACTCAACCACAAGAAAGAATGGAAATATGATCAGACCTTTATCAACTTTGTTTTTTTTATAGTCTGGCAAGAAAGACAACCAAATGAACAGTATGTTGAATGTAAGCAAGTATTGGGTAATCTGAATCCTGCAAATTTATTAAGACATCTGGAAACCAAACATTCCAAAAAAAAAAAGGAAAATAAAAGTTCTGAGTATTTCAAAACAACTTGTGTGAGAAGAAAATGGCTTTTTGTACATTTTTGTGTAACAATAAGAAAAATGCCCAAAGCATTGATCTGCTTGGTTAAAAAATTAACCTTCCAAATAAATGTGAAATTCAGATTTTATTTTTTATACATTGGAAATGTCAATTTTGCATTCAAAATAAAGTTTACTTTTCATTTTATTGCCAATGTTCTATCAATAGTGGTTTGCCTCTTGATAAGGAGTTCTTGGAAATTTTCTTTTTGACTAATGGGCTGAAAAACTTTGAAAATCCCTGAAGTAAAACATGCCTTAGATTGAGTTTCCATACTACAATAATACAATTTTGTCCAGTACTTTTTTGCACCAAGTCATGGGCAAAACATTGGCCTATTGCTTGCAACTTCTGGGTTAACAGCTGCCTCCTAGTCTGATTGTGACCTCAACACCCACTGGATCAATCTGATAGCAGGCCATCTCTGCACACAAATTATCCCCAATAAACTGTTCCTTGTGTTTTGTATGAAGTTGTAAGTTGATTCTTATGATGTTAGAGGAAGCAGTTTCTTCTTCCACATAGCATGATCTGTGAATCGAGCTGCAGAAAACATTTCTACCAGCCTTAGTGTTACTTCTGAACCATGAGCAATAGATCCTCAGATAGGCCTTCTCCTGCCTGGTTTTTATATCCACAAATTGTCCTCAGAGCATAAGTTTATTGTTTTACGGAAATTAGTAAGACTTCAATGCAGATGATGGTTTTTCAAATGGTCGATGAAGTTTTATACACACAACATGAAGTTTAAGACATAGCTTTATGAATTTCAAATTTATATGTGCACTGCACAAGTATGGAAAGGTATATTTATTGATTACAGATTTCAACATGCTAAGGCACAACATGGTTACGGTTGTGAAGGTATATTTTCACACAGTATTTCAGGTCAGAGGAACCCTGACTGCCTGAAGGGCTGAAACTGGACTAAGCATTACCCATAACTTTCTAAACTCTATCTTCCCAGATACCCTTGCTTTTTAAGGAAAAAATATATATTGTAGAAATCCCCAAGGATACATAAGTTGGAAATAATAATAATTGTTTGGTCCCTTACCCAGTCCAAGTAGCAATGAAGACTTTCAGCTGTTTCACCATACAGAAACAGCCTGACATGGAACCCTTTACAAGTTGAAGGATTCAGTATGTACATAATTCAGTCAATATACTACTCAACAATCATGGGATAAGGGAATGAAAAGAAATCATACAGTTTTAGCATCTGACATCAATTCTCATCCTAAACATTTAGGGTAACTGAAACAAAAATTTACACCTTTGGAAAAACTCCATCCTGCCCTCTCATTCCCATTTACAATAACCAGAAACTTGCTAATGAAATCAAAATCTTCACCTGGCAGAAATCCACATTCAGTATCAAACTGCCTGATGAAATTAAGTGTTAGTAAAGCAGATATTTTCATATAAATATTTTTTTTCTTATAAATACTTTAAGATCCAAGGTATTAACTACTGTTCAGTGTTACCACTTTAACAACTAGCAATAGACCTGATTCAGTGTTCACTTATTACTCATCTTTGATATTGTCAAGGTAAAGCTTCCTTTGCTTCTTCTGGTGTGATTTCCTGAGAATACAATTCTGTAAAGAGGGCAGGTAGCCAGTACTGTGGCTCTGTTGGAGCTTGTGTATCAAGCCAGGCCATCCCTTCCTTCAGCAAATGATCCTGTAAAAAGCCACAATATATTTGTTGGAGGAGGAGAAGAGAGAACAAACAAATACCCAGTAAAAACAACCAAAAGTAGGTGGCTGATGGCACCAAACAGTCCAATAGGGACTGAGCATGTTCAGCAGCCATGGAATACTGGCTCATAGTTGGGGGAGAAGGGGGGAAGAACAGACTGAATGAAATGCCAAATAGGGAGGATTTCACAAGCGTATAATTACAGACACCTTGATACAATGCAAGGCTCAGCAGCCTTTTCTGATGCCACTGTATCATCTCAAACAATAGTACATTTCAAAAAAATAATAATAATGGTTGAAATGTCAATGCCTCTTCTAATATTTCAATGATCTTGCCCACAATTTCATGGCTTTGATGATGTTGCCTGGAAACAAAAAAGATTTCAAGAATACTGAAATATCACAAAATATAGTGTGATGATGGTCATATTAATTAATTAATTAAAGCAGATGCCATGTGAGGGTTCCATAAATATTATCAACCTCTGGATAAAACAATATTTCCAATTTAAAAAAAATTGAGTTTTAAAGTACCAAATTCAGGCATTTATTTCTTCTTATGTATCTAAATTACTGACATACCAGCACTTGCTTGGCTCGTTCCATCTCCCACTTTAAACTTGACTTGATTTCACTGATAGTCACATACCCCTTTTTCTGAAATTAAGAATGGAAAAAAACAGGATTTCAGTGAATTTGCCAAGGCAGAAGAAGGTATAGAAAACACAAAGAAAATAAAATACATTTATTGCCTGCTGTTTGAGGGAAGACGTACTAAAGGCAGAGCATCTGCTTTGCATGCCCAAATACTGAAATAACATCCTAACATCTCTGATTAAAAACTGATTTTATAAAAGATTTCCTTACCAGTTTTTCTCCTAATGAAATTATGAGGAAAAACAGTTTTGTGTAAAATAGCATTTAATCAAGATTCTCCAGCCCAATTTGCAGATTTCTAACTCCCTCTGGGGAAAGAATAGCTAAGACTGAACTGTGCAGTTTGGGAAAAAGGATTGTTCTGTTCACATGCTCCACTAATATGAAACATGTAATATGTCTGTTTTTGGCTTAGCATGATGTATGAATAGGGATCTGAATACAATAAACTATGGCTTGTTTAGGGTAATAAACCAGTTTGAAATTATAGTTTGCTGTTGGCTTATTGATTGCAAATGTGGCTTCAGTGTGATGTGCATAGAGTTTAGTTCTGTGAAATGTGCATAATGTATGTCAGATGAACTGAATTGTGATCCATGAAAACTTATTATTAAATGCATTCATCTTTAAACTGCCATAAATATGTTGTCCAACTTTTCCTTAATTTTACTTAAAAGCAAGCAGAGGGGCCCCAATCCAGATTGAGACTGTAGCATGCAAAGAAGGGAGGATTAATCTTTCTCTCCCCAAACTAAGTCACACAATCCCCAAATTTATCTCCTCTGCTGTAGTCCCAATTCAAATCTCCCACTCAACATCTAGAAATACTTTACTTTTATGTTAAACTTTAAAAACTTTCCAAGACTGACTAAATCAAAATCAATCTCCACATTCATGACTCAAATACTCATTCATTAATTCTTTTCTGGCACAGGCACCTCAGCAAGCTGTATCACAACAGTGTGATCCATGTTTAGTTCAGCTGGCACAGACTGGATCAGGTATGTCCCACCAACAGGAAGAATCCCAAAGCCATTTCCTAAAACTTTCAGCTTCTTAATTGCTCGGATAAGGTCATCTCTGTGGAGTCAGGAAAGGAAAAATAAGGCACAGATACCAGTAATTTTCAACTATGCCCAGGGCAATATATTTCAGTTCTTCAAAATCCCACATTTAAAATACACAGAAAGTTGCACTGGGAAATGCAGAACTGAATTCCCAACAGTCCCAGTATTTGTGTTAAAGCTTATGTACAAAGATATATTTCTAGCCCTTATGGCTGTAAAGATGTTAGGAAGCCAATGTGGACACTCAGAAATCCAAACAAGGGCAAAATAAGATTTGCAGTGAGATACCGTGAACTTCAGGACCTTGTGTAAATAACTCCTTGCTCTGAGAGAGACAGGCAATAACCAAGGAAGGGGGCCGCTCAAGGCATCTTATTTACTCATGAATGGGCCCACTTCTCTGATCACCTGCACTGAGGTGATCTATATTGGTGAGTGCACACATGCATGTTTTTCCAGATGTTCTGCCAAAAAACATAAACTGGGTACAGCAGATATGTCCTACTCCTCTTTCAAGGTGCATTCAGAGCTATGTTCTGAAGAGTCCAAAATGGGAGCATCCTACCTATCTTCTCTTCTCCCTGATTACTGAAGCTCTGGGTGACCTGGAATGGCTCCATAGCTGTTAGTCAGTGAGACTTCCCTTTTGCCCTGTCTTATACCTTCTGATTTGTACTCTCCCCCATATTAGAGGTCCCACTGCTGTCTCTTAGTAGCAGAGGCATATTTGAAACAAAGCATCTACAAGCTGTACTTCAGGCCAAATCTGTGTTTTTCTGACATGAGGCCCTACTCTATCCTCTCAGGACAGATACGTGCACTGCCAGATACCCCTAAAACGTGTTATCAAATGGTAATTTTTAATGTGACCAAAGAAGAAAAGATGTAATTGGAGAGAAACCAGATTAACTATACTTAATTTTAATTTTACTGAAATCAAACCTAGTTTTTGCCCTCACCTTACCTACTCCTTTTTGGAGTGCAGCCCTCAGCACACCAGTCAATGGCCCAGAAAAAACTGTGCACTATCATTCTGGAGGAGGAATGGAAACTTGTGGTTTCCCCCTCAAAGTTGCAACTTTTACCTGCAGGCATGGCCAGCAGGAAGGGGTGTTGGAAATTATATTTTAAACTAAATACAGATGGGGGTGACAATTCTGCAACTAAATCTGAATTATTTAAAAATGCAAACAAGTTGCCCAACCACTGTACTGTAGATTATTTTATTAATATAATAACTTGATACATGCTAACTTGATACACTATACATGCTAATGCTTTGCATGTCTCTATAAACTGAGAAAAGATTAAGTAAAGCTATACTGGTGAGAAAGTCCACGTCTGAGGAAGAGCTTGGGTCAAAATACTTGGTTCAAGGGAATGTATGAAAAATAAGATGTGTGGACTTTAACTCCCAGAGTTCCCCAGCCAAAATGCTGGCTGGGGAACTCTGGGAGTTGAAGTCCACGTATCTTAAAGCTGCCAAGTTTGAAAAACACTGATATATAGCATTCTTATCAGACTGTATATATATCTAGTACAGATATACTAGATAAGACAGCATAGCTTTTACAGAACAGAGTATTAGCTTTTACACAATATATTGGAACTGTAGCTCAACAAGAACTTGCCAACTCAGTGAAAATTCTGTGGCTACAACAAATAATGTTAACCATGATCATTTGATCAGCATAATTTCTTTCATTAATTGTTAAGATTATACTTTTTTTTCCTGTAAACTATAGTCATGAATGCAATGCTTACTGGCTAACATCTTGAGCAAATTTTCCTCTTCCTTTGAGCACTTGTTGATGGAGTTCATCCAATATTATTAATCCTAGTGGGAATAAGGAAACAAGAGGCAAATTGCACAAGAAAGTTGGACCCCACCAAAGATTATGTAAATTAAGATTGTAACTGTACAAACCAATTTTCCCCAAGTTGCTGCCCTCTATGCATGACAGGATACAACCTCATATTGGTCAGCACTTCAAAGAGTTGTAATCTCAATATATCTGTGGAGAGTAGCTTAAAGAAGGCTGGTATATCTAGAATCTCTCTATAAATCCCACTAACTGAATGAGGCTCATTTCCTAATAGGCATATCAGAATTTCACTGTCAAGACTGCCATCCCATAGATATTTACCAAGATGTAAGTTCCACTGAATACAGTTGGATTTGTTTCTGAACAAACATGTATAGGATTGCAATGCATACTGTACTATGCTTAACTTGAATCCCATTCATTTTATATTTTGAAGAAGAGACACTACCCTTGATCTTAGCCAAAGGCCAAGAAGAATACAATAAAATATAAACCAAAATAAATCAGGTCATTCAACTATACCAGCTCGCTCTAACCAGGCACCCTTCATATATGTTTCCGATTCAACTTCCACATGAATGAAAACATTTACGGTTCCCATATCACACTGGGCCATAATACAGTTTGTTTGGTTTTGGCTTAATATGCTGTGTGAACCAATTTTGTAAACCATGACTATAACAGCTTTATGAATAAAACCATTCACTCTGGTTTATTCAACAAATCATGTTTAAAATAAATCATAATTTATAGTAGGGTAGACATCTTATGCCCCTTCATGGATCACTGCCTTGTCGTGGCGAAGGGGCTTGCGTAACTCAGTGAAG